GGAGGGGGGGAGAAAAGGGAGGGGGGGAGAAAAGGGAGGGGGGAGAAAAGGGGGAGAGGGGGGAGGGAGGGGAGTCCTGGGGGAGCTGTATATGACCCACATATGGCGTGTAGACTGCCCCCCATCCCCAACCTGTAACTTCAGAGGCCATATCTGGGTGCCAGGCTGCAAGCTGTCCATGTTGTTTTAGAATTACCACCACCCCCTCCAAAGACATGAAACAAAACAGGCTTTTCTGATTACATCAGCTGTAAGAGGTTATAAGAGGATACTTCATCCATGAATTGTGGATTTCTTGGTGCTCGCTGAGCTTGGTTGTTTGCTTGGAGACGTTTCATTACCCGACTAGGTAACATCATCAGTGCACTGATGATGCTCACACTGATGATGTTACCTAGTCAGGTAATGAAACGTCTCCAAGCAAACAACCAAGCTCAGAGAGCACAAGGGCACCACAGTTCCACCCTGAGCTACAGATATTCTCTTCTATTGGAATCATCCATGGTCTCCCAGAAATGCAGGTACCTTTAGCTGAAAGCTGGTCAATAGCCATTGTTCACGAGGCAGAAATACCTACCTGCTCAGTAATGATGTGAGCGGCTTCAGTCGGATCATGGCACTGGTTAACAAAATCACAGATTTCTTGGCTGTTTACCATGAAGTTGATGCCGTCTGTGGTCAGGACCAAGAAGCTGTCACTTGCATGGTGCAACTAAAACAACACAAATGGTATACAACTTGTCCAGACTTATGATGCTCCAGTAGAAATTGCTACATTGCAATGAACAGAGGAAAAAATTGTTTGGATTCTATTTTTACACAAGCTGACCTAATTTGCATTTCTTAAACCATAATGGGAACACATAATTTAGATGGCACACTTCCCAGTTCAGAACTCACATGCAAAAGCATGCATATCAGATAAAATTGGATGCAAAAATACGTAAATTAGAGCAATAATGTGCTTGTTTTTAAAGTGTTTAAATAGTTGGGTCCAGCCACTCAGGTGACATCATCATCTTACTGCTACAGCCCTGTGGCCCTTGGAGACCTATTATTATTATTTTTTTAATAGTATTTTATTGGAATTTTAAAGTTACAAAGTGAAAAGTTAGAAGTGAAAAAGAAAATTGAAAATATCAATTATAAAGAATAGGAAAAGAAAAAGTG